CCCCCGCCCCAAAGAAAATTTATAATTATAGTGATGATGCAAAAAAATGAAAGATAAATTGATTGATAAATGATTAGATAAATCAAAATTTTACAAATTATGATAATCGTGGTTGTACCATATAATTGTTATATCGATGCTTAAAATTCACAGTTTGGCTTTCCTGGCTCTTCAGTCTTTTGTGGTGCTTTTCTTCAGCCCTGACTGTGTAACAGTGTCCATGGGAGAATTGTAGCCTGAGACTCTTCACGACGGAACACATTCACATTCCACTACTTTATTACGCGTGTTGCAGTAATTTAGATTCTAGATCTAGATCTAATCTAGCTCTAGATCTATGCAATATTTATCAGACTTTTAAAGGTGGGTGACTTTGTTTAAGTCTATTACTCATTGTCGTAACTTTAACTAGCTAACTGATTTCCCCATTTTGCCGGAAATTTAATTTCTGAAACCAACTAAAATCAGACTTTTGGTGTGACATTTTCTAAAGGCAAAGGGAAGTGATTATTCACACCGGGTGTGCACATAAGATTTCATTTTATTCACACCGGGTGTGCGCATAGAATTAATATTATTCACTCTGGGTGTGCGAATAAGAAATAATTTTATTCACACAGGACACAGGGCAGGGTCGAGCCTACGACCTACGTTGATTTTGGACCTCGTTTGTCACACCCGGGTATCCCACCTTTTGGCAAAGGCTTTAAATGTTAAAACAACTGGACACTATTTCTAGAGATTATATCTAGATCTAGAATCTAGTCTAGATCTATAATCTAGTACTTGTTTTTAGGGTTAAAGTAAGGGCACTAAGACTAAGGCACTAAAGGGCCACCTCTATTCTCACCCGGGGTGAGAATCGCAGGCGAGTCTTTTGGCTTTTCTCACCCGGTGGGCGTTCACCGTTATAGGCCTAGCCTAGGCCAACCAGTGAAGCTTTCACCCTGAACCACAGAATTCTCAGAATTCTACACTGTGATAACAGAATTGTAGAATTCTGTGCCGTGAACAAACGTTCTAGATCTATTACATGTTAGTGTTAGCCTAAATGAAGTGTACACAGACCCGGTAAACCGGGAATAAAGTCACGAAGTATACAGACCCGGTAGGGGAACTCTTTTGTGATTTCGGAAAGTTTCAGCACTCAGACCTGGTAGTGTGTGTGTGTGTGTGTGAGAGAGAGAGAGAGAGAGAGAGACGAAAGAGAGAGAGAGAAAGAGAGAGAGAGCAGGGGGAAGTGCTAGCAAAATATATGACTTGCCCCAGTTGGCAGGAGGGAACGAGAGAAAGATAGAGTGGGAAATAGGTGGGGAGAAAGAAAGACAGAGACATACAAAGAAAAAGAGAATGCGAGCGATACACAGAGACATACAAAGTTCGAAAATGCGAGCGATACACAGAGACAGGGGAGAGAGAGAGAGAGATTCTTACTTTTCTTCAAATTGTAATTCCTCCAACTCCAAAACACAAGAAAAACGTCCGTTCATCGAAAAGACATCCGCAATCTTCATTTAGATCTAGATCTAGGCTAGCCTCGAAACTAGATCAATGATTTATATGTCTGTCTAGATCTGGACCTAGGCCATAGATCTAGAAGAACCTGGGTCTACCCTGAGCCAAGAGGGCGCTGAAACTTTCCGAAATCACAAAAGAGTTCCCGGGTATACCATGTATACTTTGTGACTTTGTTCCCGGTTACTACCGGGTCTGTATACACTCCCTAGCCTAAAAACGTGCAATTTTGTCTGTGGGCAGTGGAGATAGAGAGAGAGAGAGGAGTAGCGCAAGAACTTCCGAGCAAAACAAAATGGCGACCCGTGTAGTTCGGCTCGATTCGAAAAGTGAAATAGCCAGCATCTTTGAAAATGATCAAATTAGCTTACTTTTGTCCTATAAAATTTTTTCTGGGCTTTTATCAATTTGATCATCCACACGGATAGACAGTTATTCCGAAATGAGGAAAAACAGGTCTTGTTTCACACCGGGTGAGAATAGCCTACGCTGGCAAGTCTCACCCGGGGTGAGAGGTAGATATCGTATTTTTATTCTCACCGCGGGTGAGGAGAGCGACTTCCTAAAGTAAGCATGCACTCATCTCTCTCTCTCTCTCTCTCTCTCTCTCTCTCTCTCTCTCTCTCTCTACTCTCTCTCCCTCTTTCTAGCAAGGAAAACAGAAAAAAACGAAAAAAGAGAGATTTGAGTCATTATCACGGACACAATACTTGTCTTGAATTCTAATTTGAGTTGTGGGAAGGGGGGGGGGTTGTATCGCATTGCACAATTAGAATTAGATTTAGATTTCTTGATCTATCCCATGATCTTTGTCCCTACGCGAAAGAGGGTGAAAAAAGGAAAAATGAGGAAATTATAGATTCTAGATCTAGATCTAGATAATTTCCATCCTTCTTTTGAAATGCCCTCCTGTGCCAATAATATTTTGTAGTATTCACACACCTTGTGCGAATATAATTTCATAGTATTCACACACCCTGTGCAAATAACATTTCTAGTATTCACACAGTGTATTCACACACCCTGTGCCAATAAAATTTCACAATATTCGCAGTATTCACACACTTTGTGCCAATAAAATTTCATAGTATTCGCACACCCTGTGCGAATAACTATGGAGCCTTTCTAAAGACCAGACACGGAACACAAACATGATGCATTCCACAAGCATAATATATAGATAGAATCTATTATTTGGTATATCATTTTAAAGGTAATAAATGTAGTATACATTTATGGTGTTGCTTTGTCTGTTTGTCTGAGTATTGTGCGTGTTATTATGAATTAAAGGAAGGACTTCCGTAACGAGCGACCACCCCAACCTACGCAATAAAGAAGGGACTTTTGTTGAGTGAGATATGAGCAATTGCCGAAGATGTGTCAATTGCCACCGAGTGATGTGGTGGCAATTGACAAAAATCGACTTTTTGTCAATTGCCACCGAGTAAATTGGAGCTCTTTTGCGTTTGTGGGTAGATCTAGCTTATTGTGCTCGAGTGCTCGGTGTTGTGCGTTCGCCTCTGTGTGTGTGTGTGTTTCCTGACCCCAGTCCCCCGATTTATGTTCCCCGATATAACGTGAATTTGTGCTTGAGTTTGTGTGCGTTTGTGACCTTCTAGGCCTACTTCTAGAATTGCCTGTGTTGGTTCTACACCAAAGTGTAGGCTAAGGCTAGCCTAGATCTAGATACGTCTCATTGAAAACCCGCCAAGTTGGTACCATAGCTCTAGACTAGATGCTCGTCCAATGAAATTAGTTGCGAACAAATTGACCCATTGGACACACATTATGTATTTATGCTAAAGTAAAGATAGTGTTGTTTTCAGACTTGACACTGCTTCACTCGGTTACAATTGACAAAAAATTTGGCTAGAAACCGAAGAAGACCTGGCAAACCAACGCTCCCGAAGAGCGGAAGTTGATAAAGTATGCGGGGTCAACAATGGCTGCGCCCTGAGTAAATTCTACTAATCCCCGACTCAGATCTTCAAATCGTTGAACAGGGCCTAAAACTACACAAACGACCGTAATTTTGTCATGTCCAGGTAGTACAACAGTGGCTTTCGGTCTCCCATAAGAATTGTGGTACCCAACAAAATCTTGAATTAATAGTGGTCGCTCGTTACGGAAGTCTTTCCAAAAAGGGGGTCAAAACGCAGAGATCTATCTTCTTGCGTCCAAATTTTGAGCGAAAATGGATAAACTACCGTAGTTGCCGAAAATAGGACAGCTGTAAAATCAAAACAACCGCTAACGCATACGATGATGCAAAATGAGACTTGTCGTGAATCAAACCTCTCCCATCGTCGCTTGACGGTAAAGAGTTATGTAACGAAAGTTTAAAGACTCTTAGATCTACATTTAGATTCCTGGACCTCGTCTACCCTTCGACATTCGACATTATAATGATAAAATGTAAGTAAGAATACAGTGTTTTCGGGTGTGTCTCTCTTCTCTTAGACTTTCTAGACTTCTAGAGACTCTTACAATCAGTTTTACGCTGCTGAATAATCTCTAATACTATGTCAATACTACTGTTACGCTCATTGTCACTCATTCATGATTGCAGCATTTATATTGAGAAGCATACCCGCAGCCTAACTTGTAGCTCTTACATTCTGAGTCATGACTGTATGACTTGTGAAGTCCACACTTAGATACGAGACTTGGTATCTCTAGATCTAGACAGATGTTTTATCCGAAAGAGAATAAGAGATATTTTTAGTACAAAATGAGTCCTAATATTTCACTTGTTGTCAGACTAACAAGGGGGACTTCAGGGAGGCTTGCCCCACTGACCTAATGAAAATATTGGGATTTTCAGGAGAGCATGCCCCCCCCCCCCCCCCCCCCCCGCCCCTGAATTTAACCGCAATTTGATGTTTTGCAGTTATGATTTGATATCTCGTCCTCGCCACACATCAAACACCATTCGACGCGTGTCAAAAAATAATCGTGAACCAGAAGTAATCGTCCGTGCAGGCAAATCCCACATTCCACAGATTGTTGGGGCCAAAACCAGATTATCTCGGGATTATAGTCTCACACTATTAATGATTTCTATGTCCATAGAAATAGCTTCACTACTCCTTTCTCCTGAGATTCACAGAGGGAATCTCTTTTTTATTTCATGATCAAATAATATTCTGATAAAAACTGGTTTGCTGCATACATGATGAAAAGACTCATCTGTCTACTTCTTTAGATCAGTAGTTTTAAAAGATGATGTACTGTCACTGCACTGTCCCGGGAGATCCAATCCGCACACATGTCGGAGGTTTCTTGCGTTTTCTTGTCAAATCAAGCCTTTCTTACTCTGGCAACAGACACCAGCGTAGTAGGAATATATATGTGTCTTTCGTTCTTCCTAGCCAGGATATAGGATCTTTGGACATGGTTAAAATGTGATATAATGACATCACACGGTTACAAAAAATAATTCGATGGCCATATTCAATAATAATTAAGTCAAGGTGGTAACAGAGTTACTCGCTTACTTTGCCAAAAGTAAAATCTTCTTTTTTAAATAATAAATAAATGATGCCCTGTTGCAAAAGTTGTCTTGTAAACTGATAGGAAATTTTGCTGACTTACGGCAAGATCTTGTCATTACTAGCACACTGCTGGCTCGTCCGGCAGATTCAAAGAGCTGTTAATTTTCTGCTCGGAAGAACTTTACTAGAGGAAAAACACAGACCATGACCATCAGAGTGAGTCGATGAATTGTCTTCCTGCAAACTCTAAACTCACCCTTTGGTTCCAAAATGGAGTCAACGATGTGGCCGCCCTATTTTGGTTGCAATAAAAACGTTTCAGGGATTTCTGTACTAAGTGGCTGAGACTGATTTCAACAGATTCACAAACAGGTCTCCCTGATTAATTCAAGAGGTAGCTGTGATTTGCATTGTTTTATTGATTTAATTTGCTCACAGAGTACTGGCAGCTGTCAGCTTTGCCAACATAAGCAATGTTATGAACATAGTCATTTAATCTTAAATTTGACGTTTGACAAATCGTCTTCTCTTTTAAAAGAAACTTGTGAGCACTGTCATCAACTCACAATTTTGTTTTTGTTTTTTCACTCGAAATGTCTAAAATGTCTTGAGCAGTTGAAGCTTTCTTGTTTCTTTTTTGTTTCATTCTAAAATAAGTCTCATTGGGTGTCTAAGAAGTACTTTGGTTTTTTTTAATGTTTAGGCTTTTTGATGTTGCATGCAGAAGACATGAGTGCAATTCTTGCAAGAAAATTTATTTTATTAAGTATCCCTGTATTTTTTATTGGGATAGAGGGTGTCCCACTCAGTCATGGATGGCTGTGACAGACAACTTGAGTTCAAAATTGGTTAATTGGGTCATAGTTTGTTTACCTTGTATTTTTCTGTCAATGAAAGGCTTGGTGCAAATAGGGGCCATCCTTGTTGCAAGTGGACGGCAGTAGTTTTTAGCGTTCATGTCTTTTCATGTTTTTATATTCTTCCTTGCAAAAAGAAAAAGTTATTTCTAGCCTCAAGCTTTTGCCATTTTTGTGAGTTCGAGAATTTTACTCAATTTTCTGCAAAAGTTGGGGAAATAATATGTCAAGGGGGACAATGCGTCTTTGCGAATGTAACGGGTTGGGTTTGTTCTAGAGGTAACGAGTCGGGCGCGATCTGCGTGTGCCATAATAGCCACTTTGCGCCCTCAATCTGGCTAGCAAACCGACCCGACCTGATCCACCAATCAATGGGCACCCAGTAGTCCTGTTTGCATGTTCGGATGGTTGAGAGAGAGAGGCGTTCACTTGGACTGAATCATCTTATAGCTAGATTTAGATCTACAATAAGTCAATTGTTAACACGATCGTCTGATTTCTTAGCTCGCATTTGATTCTGTGACATCAGGTAGATAGATCTTGATCTAGTATTTGGGAAAGCCTTTAAATCTAGGCTAGGAGAGTAGATCTAGACATGGATCGATTCATCATGAAAAACCCCTCTTTGTACACCACGCATGACAGTAAGGTGATATACTTTTTTTTTATGTGCTGCCGCCACACATGAGACAAAAGGTATATATGGCACAATTCATTTGCCCTACTCAGTCACAGTATACTGACACCAGGATATAGCACTGTTCCCATAATGCCAGGCGGGAAAGCTGCTAAAATGAGTAAAATGCCAATTTTTAAGTCTTATGTATGACCCAGTTGGACCTGGGACTCGATCCCCCGACCTCTGGCCCTAAGGCTGATGCCTTACTGCTAGGCCACCGGGCCGGTTATGTCACATACAACAGTGTACATTTGATGAATAGTTTTCAGTGTCATGTTGTTTTTTTGGGTTATTTTTAGTTATCGCAGAAAATGGTAAAAGATTAAGACACTAAAATCTCAGAATTACTCCAAATCTTTATGCTTGGTTCTCGTTCATTTCTGTGCTCTATTTTAAAGTATTTTTTCACATTTGCTTTTGCACAGTCTCGGTTTTTTTTGTGTATACATTCACATTTACTTTTGCACAGTCTCGGTTTTTTTTGTGTATACATTCACATTTACTTTTGATTCTGATCTTAACAAACCTCATGTTTGGTTATACTACTTTGATTACAATGAAACAATGTATTGCATGACATTTTTTTCGCTCTACGTGTTTTGCAACTTGTTTTCTTGCAACTTTTGCTTTTCTCAAATGCAACTTTCTCCAAGGACAGATATTTTAATGACTTTTTATTATTTGGGTAGACAGGAAATTCAAAGACTTGTTTGTTTTGTGAATTTCATGACTTCTTGAAAAAGTTCTTGTTTTCACTTCTTCTCTGATGTTACCATAAATCTGCTGTTTGACTAATTCGAATTCTCCTAAAAAAATGTTCCTCTTTTATTATCCGCACTATTAACATTAAACATTACAGTTTGCAATGTAGGTGAGTTTAGAGTTAACGCGGAGGGGATACTGAAGTTTCTTCATTCTGCATGGAATTACTGGAGCAACAGTCCTTTTTAAAAGAGAGACCAGTAGTTATCTCTGTGAAAAATTCTGTGGCATTGTGAGATCACAGAACTTGCTTAATTTGTTGTGTGTGTTGTTTCTTGTCAGGTAAGTGTAATTTTAAATTGTAAATACATCATACTTAATTTTGAAATTTTGTTAGAGATAATGATGTTTTTTGCTATAGGCTCTCTGTTCTGAACCAAATTAATGTAAAAAAAAATCAGTAAAAAATGTCTTCCAATTTCCCAGCAACTGACAGTTGTGTATGAAAAGTTAGTTGTCAACGTATGCCAGAGGTGGAGGTCTCGGTTGTACTTGCTGCCTGTCTGGCATGAGGAAAGGAGGAGCGTTTTCCCAAGCTGCAGGGGAGTCCTTGTGCTGCTGTGAGTACGAGAACATGAAAGGGGAGAGAAGCCACGTGCTGGCCGCCTGCTGTGACTGTGAGGCTCTGGACGATACCTTTGACAAGTAAGTCAGGCGATGTGTTTGTGGGAGGTTGGTGGAGGCTATAGTGCAAACTGAGCTTAATATTTAGTTGTCTTTCTTAGTGAAACTGTTGTCTTATGTCTTAACACTTATATCCCATTGATACAGTGACGGCTTATTGACTGTTATCTGAAGTGCTGTCAAAATTGTCTTAGAGGGCCAACTATTGTTGAGAAAAAAAGTGGCTGCCTTAGACTGATGGACGTCTTTGACTGTGTCATTTTAATGTAAAAAAAACACGAGTGGGGAGGGTTGTGAAGTGTCTGTTTGTACAGATGATTGTCTTGTGCAGGTGACTGTAAGAGCAGGTTTGACAAACATCGCTTGTGTTCGTACCAGGGCAGTGCTACAGACTGAAGTTGTCTTTAGGCCATTCCCAAAGGGGGGATATTAACATGTTCCTATGCACAGTAGTATTGTAAGTGGGATGATTTATCAATGTCCTGCTCATACTGTGCCAGAATGACATAGGGGGAATTACTTCTTTTTCTTTCCTCATCCTTACTTTCGTAATTTTTTCTCTACTTCTTTTGTATGTTTGTCACTCTCTTGTGAACTGCTGTTTCCGGGGTGCCTTGATAGTCGAAGCAGACTTTGCGCTGTTGAGGCTAGAGAGGTGAGCAGAGTAAGCTACCGTCTGGACTTCTCTGTTGACATCCTCCCCTTGGCCGTTATATGACTTTATGCAGTTGCGAACACCCAAAAACACTAGAAAAAAAACAACTGCATGGTTACAATAGTGTTTTTTTTTTCTATCGATCAGAATCTTCAAATGTGAGAACATCCCGCAGTCGACCATCGACCGTTTGTTCGACACCGTCGCAGATCGTTTGCGACTGCCATCTTGTTTAGGCCATGGTGCGGTCAAGCTGAAGCTGGACGTTGCGATCCCGGTGGTGATGGTCCCAACGTGTCTGTGCTTGGCCACCCTCCACCCTGTCATGACTGTCCTGGTCTTCCTGTTCATGCCGTTGTTCCTTGGGGGATTCCACGCGCTCTGGCGCAGAAAGAGCCGGGACAAGAGGACGTCACTCTTCTACGTGTGGGGCTGCACGTCCGTCATCTCTTCCTATGTGGTCTTTCAGGTAATATTCCTGCAAAATTAACAGGGAGAAAAGTCATCTAGTCTTCTAGGGAAATATTGATCAGCTTTATTTCTGGTGGGATCCCTTGGATCTGTATGAAGAAAAAAATATCTCGACTTCTATTCAAGATAGATAGGCATTTTTTTGTCGAAAACAGGATGAATGAAGATTTTTTAGAAGTGCAATGCAATGGGAATATTTCTCAAATGAACGTCTACACTCTGAAGTACAAGTGTGATATCTGCTCTTTAATAATTCTTTTTTACTCTGTCCCTTCCCTTCTTTCTTCCTTCTTTACTCTTTCTCATTTAGCTAAGTGCTTTGTCTTCGAAATGACCTGTTTGTGTCCTGAGGAATGTTGATTTGATATATTCAGAAATAAGAACGACAGAGTCAGTGTTCTTTCTGAAGGATGAAAAAAAAGCTGTAGCATAATGTTTCATCTGTATTTCCATATTGTAATCTTTTCAGCTGTTGTTTGAGTGGGTAGATTGTTTTGCCTTGAGTGAATTTTTTTTTTTCAAAAGAACATGAAAGAGGGTTTTATGGTGAATACACAGATGGATTGAAGGCTAGAATTTTATTTTGCATGACTTACTTTGGAATGATAAAGCCAGGTGCTTTCTACACAGTGTAGTGTAGTGTAAGGATTAGGCTCTTCAAAGGGGATAAGATAGGGTATGTGTGAGGCATTGGGCACTCGTCAAAATAATGGAATTGAAGATACCGGCATTAGTGGATGTGAGCGTGGACAATAATAAACTAATGATCTGATTGGCTTCAGTGACAAGGGACAGCAGCAATGAGAACAGCATAATCAATGACAAATCTGTCTGCCCTGGTCAATATCAGTCGTAAGACGCAATGTGCTATTATAAGGTACGGGGCTCGAGAAGCAAAAATGTGACATTTTATGCAATTTTTTGTTGCTGTTCTAGTGAAAGTTTGCTTCTGTTTCATTTAAGATAAAAATATAGCTATAGTCGACTATAGATATTTTATTTTGAATTATTTTGGAAGTGTGTGTGGTTAGTTGTGAGCTTGCGTGACGAGATTAAAGAGCCCATTTTCTCCTTTTCGTGTTTCCGCACCTTGCACTCTTAAAAGTTCCATGTTTTCGTCAAATATTGTCTGATTTGCTTCATTTTTTGTTAAATTGTAGGAAAATGCAGGTAGTTTTTGGAAATAATGTTAACCTAATTTTGAAATTTCCTTCGTATGACTGATTTTGACCGATGTCTCCACTCTCATAGTGCAAGAGGCCACTCCTTTTGTCGGCACATCTCACAATTAATGTCTTTTCCTGACCTGGATGACCTCTAGTAAATGTCGTCATTGATATGTCTCCACTGACTGATCCGTGTTGTTAATGGCCTTTTGCCAAGTGTCATTTTTATTCATGAACTCATGGTTTTATGAGCCTTTTTTTAGTAATGCATTTTGCACTTCCATGGTTTTTTTGTGTGGTTTTTTTTTCTTTTCTTTTTCCTGCTAAGTGAAAAAAAAGGGTTTAATCAGTCAGTCTCTTGTTTTAATTTTCCAGATATGGGTACTAATTTAGTACTATGTGTCACATTCTTAGATTTGCAAAGCTGGAAAGATTTTTTCTTTCTGTTTCCATCACTGTGTTGCTTTAGAGTAGAGCTTCATGAATTTTTCCAAACCATGGACCATGATTCATCTATCTCATGGATGTGGGAGGAAATCAAGTGACAATAAGCCGATGCTAAATGTATTAATAATGGTGTACTCCTTTTTAATCAAATTTCTGTCGTTGTTATCTCTCTCCCTTCTTTTTTGTGTGTGTTACTCTCTGGTAAGACCTCTAATCTTTAACACTTATATGACCTACCTAATTGTGTTGCTAGTGCTGTAAAACTCTTACAAAAAACTTAAAAAATTATCAGTAATTTACATTGCCACGAGATTTTTAGACTGGTTGGTGAAGTAAAAGTTAACTTACCGGTTTTTTCTTTTATATGATTAGGGAGTTGTAAGTAGTTGGAAAGAAGGTGAGGACAAGGAGGGGCAGTTCTCTGGTATGTTCTGTTGTAATGTGGAAGAAGATGGACTGGATGGGGTTTGTAATCTGAAGCCTGCTTTTTACATAACCATACCGTGTTGAGAAGGACAATAAATGTATACAAGTTAAGTAAGTGCTTTGAGTGGGAGGGGGGGGGGGGGGTGGAGTTGTGATGTGTTTTGCTCTTTCTTTCCTATCAAACAGCTATCATCCTTATCCCTCCTTCTTTTCTCTGTTTGTTATTTTCTAGTAACACTTCTAATCTTTGGCATTTATGTGACTTAAATGGGTTGTTAGTGCCGTAAAAATGTTACTAAAACAAAACTAAAGGCTCTCCACCCATTTGGCTCGGTCCTATTGATGAGGGACTTAAAAATTCAGCATTTTCCTCCTCTTAAACCTCGCAGTGTTGAAAGGGGCGTAAATTAAAAATGTATGCAATAACATCAACCAACATGTCCGTCTCTCATGTAATATTTGTTGTTGTTGTTGTTGTTGTCGTTATCATTGTTGTTTTCATTATTACTGCTGCTATCATTATTGTTGCTTTTGTTGTACTTACTGCTGCTGCTGTTGCTAATTTTTCCAGCAGTAAAAAGTAAATAGTTAACAGTTAGTGGTTGTCGGGTGCTCTGGTGTAGTTTGCTCCTTCTTTCCTATTGAACATTTGTCGTCCTTATCTCTCCTACTGTTTTATGTTTGTTACTCTCTTGTAACACCCCTATCTTTGGCACCTTTGTGACCTTATCATGCTGCTAGTGATGTAAAACTTTTACTAAGACTAAACTTTCCACCGATAGAAAAATCAATAATAATTTTTTACGAACCAAAAAACCCCCATCTCCCTTTTGTCTCTTTATCTTGTCCAGTGTTTTGTGGTGGCGTTCCGCGAGGTGCTCCTGTGGGAGATCTTGTCTGTGTTCACCATGATGATGCTCATGTTCTACTTCCTGTACCGCGCCAAGAAAGACCCGGACCAGCTCTTTGTCTCCGCCAGGACACGGCCCAGCCACAAGCGCACACCCTCCAATCTGATGGCTGGAAGTGCTTCTCAGCCGCTTTATGACCAGGTAGGTTGGGTTGGGTTTTATTGGGTTTGTTTTTTGGGGGGAGGAGGGGGAATTATGGATGTTTTTGTTGTTGCTGTTGTTTTTTAACTGCAGAGAAGCTTACTCGTTTAGCTTACTCCTCATTTTTTTTACATAGAGAAACTTACTCCTCTTTTTTAATTGTGCGCGTGGGTGGTTGCCGGGTGCTCTGATGTGGTTTGCTTCTTCTATCCTTTCAAACATCTAATCTTCGACTCTTATATGGCCTCATTATGTTGCAAGTGCCGTCATAAAACGCTTACTAAAACTATTAGTTTTGCACTTTTTGTTGTTGTTGACCCCCCCGGGGCAGTGCCACTGACTGTAGTGGCTTTAGGCCATTCCCAAAGGGGAGACATTTCTCGTTCAAGCATAGTAAAATTGTAAATGGGCTGACTCATGTCATGCTGATAACTGTGCCTGATCTACAACAGGGAACTGTTGCTTTTTCTTTCCTGATCCTTACTATATTGTCATTTTCCTCTACTTCTTTTGTATGTTTGTCACTCTCTTGTGACCTGCTATTTTGGGGTGCCTTGATAGTCGAAGCAGACCTTGTACTGTTGAAGCTAGAGAGGTGAGCAGTCTAAGTCTGATTCCCTGTAAAGACTTTTCTGTTGACACCCACCCCTTGGCGGTCATATGGCCTTATGCAGTTGCGAGCGCCGTAAAACCCTCTACTATTAATGTTGTTGTTGTTTTTTAAATGTAGAGAAGCTTAGGGGGCTCTGGTGGCCTAGAGGTTAAGGTGTTCGTCTCTCATTCAAAGGTCCTCGGTTCGAGTGCAGGTAGCTATGGAAAAATTTTCTTCTCTAAAATTGTCTCCTTTCACCTCCTTCTTGCTCTTTAGCCATATTCTGTCGTCTGCTTTCTTCTCTACGTTCTGCTCCCACCCCTCACCTCCTTTGCCCCCTCCTCTGGGCTCCTGACTCTTTCTGCAGCCTTTCCACCCCTACCCCTTGGCTCCTTCTTACTGCTGTCTTTCAGCCACACCCCTGATCTTCTGGTAGGATCTACACCTAGCCTTCTCGGACAAGGGCAAAAAATCCCTTGGTGGTCTAAAATTGATAAGAGTAGGCTTCGGCGCCACCCTCGCAAAATTCAAAGTCTCCTTCCAACTGAAAAAGTTTAATGTGTCCTGTGTGCTCATATGACCTGATACAGTTGCGAGCGCTGTTAAACACTTACCCAAAAAAAAGAGGGAAAAAAGGGAAGCTTACTTGTTTTTGTTTGTTTTTGGAAGTGCCTTTTTGCAACGCCATGTTGCGATTAGCGCCAGTGCTAAATAAAACGCTGCGTTGCGATTAGCGCCAGTGCTAAATAAAACGCTGCGTTGCGATTAGCGCCAGTGCTAAATAAAACGCAGTGTGTTAGGCCTAGCCTATATGAAGCTTAATCTACCTTTCGTTGTCGGAAGTTCTGATGGCCGAAGTGACAGCGCGTCTGCGTTTGAAGCCAAACATTTATTCTATGAGCGTGGGTTCGATCCCGGTCCTGGAAGTTTTTCTTTTTTCTTTTGGTCCTCTTCTCGGCTGTCCAACAAATTTTCCCCATAATTATAACTTGTTGCTTTTTAGTTTTTTTATGTACTGATGAAGCATGCACATTCCGGTTTTGTCCCCAAGAGGAGCTCTGTACAAAATAGGCTTTAGTATAGCCTATACTTTTCCTTTTACCAATTTAGGCCCTGTTAAAGTTCAATAGTGGCTTTCCTTGGTCTGTGAGTCTTAATATATATTTTTTTAAATTTTAGGCTCAGAAGAAGAAAAAAAAACCTTCCAGGACTAGGATTCGATGCCACACTTGGGAGCACTGAACATTAGACTTAGAGAGCGTAGACAGCTTGTATACGTTCTCTAGGCCTAACTTAAAGTTAAAGATAATATTTTTAGGTAGATCTATTGTATGACGGCACTGCGAACAGGAAATACTTCTTATACCGAGTTGCATCGTCTTGTTATTGTTATCTAAGCATCTTTCGACTTACTTGCTCGAACTCAAACTCAAATAATTATGATTATGAGAAATGAACAAGACTACGTCTAGTCTGCTTTTGTGCAAACAATGTCAGAAACAATTGTTAGATCTAATCTAGATTTTAGATCTACCCAATATCGATTGGAATAAGACAAGGTCTTAAAAAAGGAGTCAAATCCCAGCAGGAGGTTTATCGAGAAACTGAGAAAGCTTCCACAATTCAGGCAGAACTACAACTACAATATTAGATTATATCTATAATTTAGAAATGATGGCTACTAGATCTAGATTGTAGCACTGGCGTTTCAAATAGCATGGAAGCTATTCAGAACGCGGCGTTGCAAATAGGGCCTGCCTTTTCTTTTTGTAAAGACAAATTTTCTTTTAGGGACATTTTTAATATATAGATCTAAACATTTTCAGTTTCCATGGGGGTTTTTTTTTCTTATGTTCTTCTCATATTTATTTGGACGAAAAGTAAAAATAATTTTAGGAAAGAACAGAGGATGTGTGTTTTTTACTTTATGGGACATGTGTGTTCCAGAAAAGTTTCCTCCGGTTTGATGAGATAGTACTACTGAAACGATTAAACATTCTTAAAACTGATTTGTAAAAAATGTAAGAGATTTCCATACTTTTTTTTCTTTACTTAAACTTAAAGTATACAGAAGACGTTTTCCCCCACATTCCTTTTTATAGTGTGGGTTGTTAGATGGTGTTCTGGTGTGGTTTTGCTGCTTGTTTCCTTTGAAACATCTATCGTCCTGATCCCTCCTCTTCCTTTCTTGTGCTCGTTACTCTTGAAACAGCCACCTCTAATGTCTGGCATTTATATGACTTTATTGTGTTGCAAGTGCTGTAAAACTTGTACTAAAACTAAACTAAAGCTTTATGTTGTTGGACAAGTGGTGTAAATATTTCACCAATTCTTGGCAGTCAAGGGTTGCAACTACCTTGCTGGTGGAGGGTGCCTCTAGTACACCACAACCTCTCTTCTATTTGAGAAGGAGGAGATGGAATCAGGCGCTCGTCAATTTTACGGTGTGTAGAATTATTGGTTTTTCATTTATCTTGCTTTCAATGAAAAAAATACCCATTGATCTTGAACAGAAGTTGAGATATTTGTGATTGAGGTGGGGGTCGCCTGGTTTCAGAGGTAAAATTTGCCAGAAAATGGCCATCAAAGTTGGATGACTTTCATAGCTTGAGAGTCCTTGGAAGCTAAAAAGTTACATTTTGTGTGCCTTTGATCAACATTTATCAGTAAAATATTTTTATGTACATGTGACCTTTGCAGATCAGCGGGGAGAAGCTGGACTCGGGCCACAGCTTGTACACGGACCTCACTGGGGTGACAGTGCAGGGAGAGATGGGCGCTGAGCAGGTGACACAGCACCAGAGGTCGAACCTTCGGCCAATCGTAGGTGAGTCAGACTCAGAAGTCATTTTTTTGGGTGGAAGCAAATCCTTTATCTGATAAATACCTCATACCCCAATTACCTAGGACTTTTATGTTCTCTTTTTGCAAAAATGTAATGGCCTAATGATACGTAGCTAAATTTTCATCTAAAGACTGCATCATGCAGCTTATGGTGAAGAATATGGAGCTGAGTTTACAACCTTTTGTTTTCCAATTCACTGTTCTGTTCTCTCCACAGGTAAATGCTGTGACAATGCTCACTGCAGTTATATACTATGGGACTTGTGAATATTTTCTGTTCCAAGAAATTTGCTTTAAAATGTCAGGGTAAGATGATGTATACTCATGTCTGAGAGAATGATCTGATGATGATACGTTATGTGTGTTGTTTTTCTTCCCCAGGGGAGCTCCCTGCTCGAGCTGGGTACTGTCCCGTGTGTGAATCGTATATCGCAGTGCGGGACCATCATTGTATCTGGTGAGTGAGTTTTTAACTCTTTCACTACATAGACGGAATAAAAAATAACCAGGCTAAAATCAACTGCTCAGTGTAAGACTCATTTATACGGCATTTAGTAAAGTGAAGTGTGACGATGTCTTATATTGAGCAGCGGAAATAAGTGGTAGGCTAGTATGTGTACTTTGGCTAACTTTCTGGGGTCTATTTTGGCGAGATGCCGCATCATGTCATCATGGTCACAACACGGGTGGTTGGCAGGTGAATTACTATGGTTTGCTCCTTCTTTCCTATCAAATATCTATTGTCTTTATCTCTCTGACTTCTTTTTTGTGTTTGTTTCTCTCTTTTAGCACCTCTAATCATTGGCACTTAAATGCACTTGTATGTTGCAAGTGCCGTCAAACGTTTACTAAAATTAAACAAGTCAAGGGACAAGGTGTAGGGTAAGAGAGAGGTTCTCCTGATCTTAAGATAAACATATAGACAAGAAAATGTTACAATAAATTTACTACGAATCCTTTAGTTTACATCAGGCCAAGGAATGGTTTTATCGTACAGCTTTATTTTTTTTACTGTTTGACAGGATCAACAGCTGCGTGGGGGGTTCGAACCACAGATCCTTCCTGCTGGCCATGATCACCTTCATCTTGACCAGTCTGTACGGGAGTCACCTCACACTGACCACTGTGTGCACGCCCAAGATGTACTACGACTGGTTCTTGTTACCCAACGACTGTCGCTGGCTCTATTTGGACTTCTTGTGAGTTAATGAGCTACTGAGTGTGTGTGCATGTGTGATGGGAGGGGGGATGGGTGTGTGTGTGTGTGTGTGTGTGTAGGAGGGGGGGACGTGGAGGGGGGATGGGTGTGTAATTAATTTGTGCTAAGTGCTAGTTTTTTGTGTGAGTGTTGTGTGTGTGCGTGTGTGCATGCAAGCATATGTGTATATGTTCTGTTTGTATATGTGTGCTTGTGTGTGAGTTCTGTGTGTGTGTGAGTTTAAGACAATAAGGGAAATGGTACAAAAAACAAACAATCAATAAATCAATCCTCAGTAACAAAAAATTAATTCTTTCTCTAGCTCCTGAGATACATTTATAGTCTTGTGACCTCGTCAATTTGTAGTCATAATCTTCAGAAGGATAAGTGAAAAAAAAAAAAATTGACATTATTTAGACTTAGGTCTTCTTTGACAGTAGGAAAGTAACTTCATACTAAAAATATAAAGAGGGCTCTCATGGCCTAGTTAAGGTGTTAGCCTCTCATTCAAAGGTCCCATGTTCGAATTTGGGTAACGACCGAAGAATTTTCTTCTCTAAAATTGTCTCCTTTCACCTCCTTTCCTGCTCTCTAGCAATGTTCTGTCCTCTGCCTTCATCTCCTCTTTCTCCCCTCACCTCCTTTGTCCTCTCCTCTGGGTTCCTGACTCTTTCTGCAGCCTTTCTACCTCTACTCCGTGGCTTCTTCTTACTGCTGTCTTTCAGCTGCACCCCTGAGATCTAGCAGGGGAACACAAATAAGAACAAGTAGTGTCCTGGTTTTCTCCCACTACCCATCAGTTATAGTTCTCTTAATTTAATTCTTCGTCTATCTCTACGTGTTATGCCTTCTGTTTTTCCTGTAAGCACAAAACAGACGTTTAAGTGTTCCGGCAATTTTAACTTTGACTCAAATTTTTCGGCCCCGGCCTGCAAAAATTTTCAGGCAGAATTTACTACTTTGGCAATATAAGAACGGAAATGCGAACTAGAAAAAAGAAGCTTTTCCGGCCGCCATTTGCATTTCCTTAAGACTTGGTTCGCTTGGTTCCCCCAAAAAATGTAGTAAATTTCGCCACCGCTTAAACCGATCATCATGTCACTGGTGTGCTGTTGTGCGCGGTTACGATCATTCGGAGTGTTCTTTAAAAAATGAGCTCTTCTTTCTGCCGGAAAAGTTGTTTAGAAGCTAGAATGTAGATCTAGTGCTGTTTCACAGTTTGACTTGACTTTTGTTTCTGCTGCGGAAAAGTTTTTTGATTAGAACAAGACTCGATCTAGATCTATTTGTGTGTTTCATTGTGACTGAGTCAGTGATTGATGTATGTGGTGACTTTACGAGTGTGGAACTGGAGCTAGATTTAGGTTTCTTTGTCCTGAAAAGATGCCTCACAGTCCTGATGCTTGTTGATCTCAGTATCTTTGTAGGCCTAAGTGATACCCAGTTGATTTACCCTCTGTTGTCAATAGACAATATATAGATTTACTCTTTTTGGTCTCATATTTTACTTTTCAAAGCAGAAAAAGCCTTAATTTTTCAAAATTTTCTGGGCTCCCCAAAGTTTAGCATCGCGCCTGGGGTGCTCAGCCCCTTCAGATTTTCAGGCAATTATTTAGAAGACTGCTTACTCGTGTGAACTATAAAAAGAGGCGGAAAGAAAATGTTAAATTTTTTTATGTCTCTTCGTCTTTTCTCCCCACAGGACAGCCATTTGCTTTGTGACGGCGATCTACGCGCTGGCGGCGGCCATCTTCATGTCTGTGTGCCTGCTGTTCCAGGTGGTCCTGATCAGCCAGAACGTCACGTCACATGAGCTGGCGCAGGCGCGGCGTCAGGGTCAGACGTTGTGCGGCGTCTTCTCCCGCGATAACCCCAACAACCGAGGCTTCTTCAGCAACTGGCTGGAGTTCTGGATGCAGGAGTCGCGCAGGGGCTCGCCCAAAGTGGTCGCGTAGCGTAGTGGAGGGATGGTGGCTGTTCTAGGGGTTTGCTGCTCATGTATGAACTTTGCATTTGAGTGGCTTTTGGAATTTCTGCTACTTGGGGTGTTGGGGTTTTGTACTATTAACCTGAAATACAAAGTGTATGGGGAGAGGTTGAAGGAGGGGTGAGGGGCAGTGATGAGCTCTTATGGTTTGTGTCATGTACATTTTTGTCTTGTTATTGAGCTTCAACAAAATATATTTGGGTTGGGTTCTGATTTGTTGTTGTGACTTACTATATTCCCTCTCCCACCCCTCCTCAGTC